AAATTACCTATAAAGAAGTGGATAATAGAGAATTTGAGTCCATACATTGGAGAAACAAGATGTCTTCACATCATAAATATGTATGGCTATCATCAAAGAGACTATTGGTGTACAAGCGATGCAATTGATGCATACTCAAGAAGAGCGCTGATCTCCATACTTAATTCAAAGCTAGGCATGGAGTTGGCTAAGTTTCATGAAGTTCTAACACCAATAACTTCACATCGCCAATTGAAGTTTGATAGTCAATACAGAAAGATTGGAGAAGGCATGGTAGAAAGTTTAAACTTAGAAAGTAGGATTTAGTTCGGCCACATGCTAAGTTTTCTTACAACGTGAAGAAGTTTTATAATAAGCTAGCAAAGTGTAACTTGAAACCTGGTGAGCGTTGGGTCCCCATTCTTATTATAGCAAATCTTGCGCCATATATAGAAGCAGTTAGACTCGAGGACAAGTCTTTTTCAACCAGGGGAGAATGATGCAATATCAAAAAAGCTAAAAATCCAAGAAATTCAAGAAGTCCAAGAATTAATCCAAGATTAGGATTTCTTTTCCTCAAAGGTTAGGATTTATTATTTCTTGTTTCCTAGTAATTAAATTTTTGTTTTAGTAGAATTATATTTGTAGTTCTAGTCAAACTAGGATTGCTAGTTGGTATCCATTCCTACAAGAATTATTTTTCCTATTTTAGTTATGATTGGTTTTCTTAACCTTATTTTTATTCTAATTTAATTAGGATTAGTTTTCCTTAACCTTATCAATTTTACTCATTATAAGGCCTATTTAAAGGGCTTAATATGTTGAAAATAAAGATTGGTGATTAATATTTCTAAGCTCTTACTTCAAAAACGTGATTTAATTTTTATTTCACTTTTCTTCCTTTATTCAAGGCTTCTTGCAATCTTGCAGAATTGAAGAACGTGTAGGCGAGGTTTCTTTTCATCTTACATTATTATAACATGAGTTTGAAGAGCGCTTTCGCTATTTTTGTGAAAAACTGTAGCGAGGTGCTTTTGTTTTTCTCTCTTCTTTGTGCTTGAGAGACGCAAAACCTTGAAAGTACATCGGTAAGGGAGCCTCTAGGATGAGAGTAGGGTCCTGAAACATAGGGACATTGACGGGGAGGTCTATAAAGTTAGGTAAGATTTTTCAGATGAGGAAGATCAACATAGCATGTATCCAGGAGACTAGATGGTGCGTATAAGGCACAGAATGTAGACGGGTTTAACCTATGGTACCCAGGAGGCGCTGGGGCAAGAATAGGGGAGGTATTTCAGTTGGCGGAGACCTCAGGGAGCTAGTGGTCAAGATTATGAGGGTAAACGATAGGTTGATGAGTATTAAGCTGATAGTTGCAGGGTTTATTGTTAACATGATTAGTGCGTACGCTTCTCAAGTAGGCTTGGACTAGGAGGTCGACAATTTTGGCAAGACTTGGACGAGGTGGTGCGTAGTATCCTGCACACCGAGAAGCTATTCATTAGAGGGAACTTCAATGGTCATATTAGGGCTACTGCTAGAGGTTATGATGATGTGCATGGCGGGTTCGACTTTGGGGATAGGAACGAATGAGGTATCTCATTGTTGGATTTCGCTAGAGCTTTTGATTTGGTGATAGCTAACTCGAGTTTTTGTCGAAAAGGGAGGAGCACCTGGTCACCTTCCGAAGCATAGTGGCCAGGACTCAAATTGATTACCTTCTGTGCAGGATATGTGATACAAGTCTATGCATTGATTGCAAGGTCATCAAGAGTGAGTACTTCACGACCCAGCATAGGCTCCTATTGATGGACTTGGAGATCAAGAGGAATGGGAGAAAGAGGTTGGAGGTTTGGAGGTTGAGCAGGACCAAAACAGAAGACCTAAAGTGCAGATTCAGTGACGGGACTCATGAAGCGAACGTGGATGTGAAGCTTGATACTCAAGTCATCCCCAAGAAAGATAGTTTCAAGTATCTCCTCAAGTATTGGTAGCACTCATGTACCTTCATATTCTTGGATCTTTATTACGTCATGTTGTTTAGTTCGCCTCAGTTATCATATTTCCATGTTGTTACTACTTGGTACTACTTGTTTTTTCCTTCCTCCTTTTCTTCTCTCTTCCGTTTCTTTCCTTTTGTCATCCCCAAGAAAGATAGTTTCAAGTATCTCCTCAAGTATTGGTAGCACTCATGTGCCTTCATATTCTTGGATCTTTATTACGTCATGTTGTTTAGTTCGCCTCAGTTATCATATTTCCATGTTGTTACTACTTGGTACTACTTGTTTTTTCCTTCCTCCTTTTCTTCTCTCTTCCGTTTCTTTCCTTTTTTTATCCCCAAGAAAGATAGTTTCAAGTATCTCCTCAAGTATTGGTAGCACTCATGTGCCTTCATATTCTTAGATCTTTATTACGTCATGTTGTTTAGTTCGCCTCAGTTATCATATTTCCATGTTGTTACTACTTGGTACTACTTGTTTTTTCCTTCCTCCTTTTCTTCTCTCTTCCGTTTCTTTCCTTTTTTTGTTCTTCTTCTCTTCTTCTTCATCTTCTTCCTCTTCTTCTTTCTCGCCTTTTCTGAGCCGAGGGTCTATTGAAAATAGTCTCTCTACCTTCACTAGGTAGGAGTAAGCCCTGCATACACACTACCCTCCCCAGAACCCACTTGTGGGAATATATTGGGTCTGTTGTTGTTGTTGTTGGACCAAATAGTAGCAAATAAAGCTTAAAAGTTAGAATAGAGAAATAACAAACACAGCTATTAAAGCTTAAAACACAAAAATAGAGAATAAACAAGGAAACAAAACTAACATTATTTTGTAACCTAGAAATCTCTGAGGGCCACCTGGAGCACGATGTCAAACTCATAATAATAGGTCCTCAATCTCCACTAAAATACTGGACTTTACTGAAGAGTCTGAAATCATGTCATGTGCCTAACCCACACATCATGTATTGTGTTCTCATCGCTAAACCAAAGCCTTGAGGGCGAGGAAACAACAAACTTATGAATCGAAGATGCTAACTATTGAAGGATGTGCAAATTGAGGTCAGCTAGCAACCAGTGTAAACACAACACGGCATAAGTGGGAATTTGTATAGATTTTGGTCACGCAAAGTAAGGTACTCCAACCAGGAAGATGAAGAATGTAAAGAAGGAAAAATATAAGGAGAGGAAAGGGGAAAAAAGAAGGAAAAAGATGCGAGGGAGGCATCACTAGTTTGCTCGTCACTGCGACATGAGTTCTGAATCTTGTGACGAAGTGAAGGTGATGTTGTCGCTACTCCGATTGCTTTTGATGTTGTCGCTACTCCAATTGCTTTTCTGGTTTTCCCAGATTTGGAGGAAGAAGAAGAAGAAAAGAAAAGCCAAGGAGAAGTGGTAAAAAGAAGCTTTTTGGGCTACTACCAAATTTCAAATCATGAGCGAATTGCAAAGATAGGGGCCTGCTTGTCTTAGCCTTAAAACACACACACACAGACACACACATATATATAGTACATAAAGAATGAAATGATAACGTATTTACAAAAAGTTATTTAGACTTATTTTGATTCAATTGTTTTACTAAATTATTCAATAAAGTTGAGTAGTAAACCATGATTATTTAATTAATTAAAAATAAAAAAGCAATACAGAATTACACAATAATTGTTGGCCACTAAATTTAATTAATAGAAATTGAGTTATATCACATTGCTGAATGAGGTATTTTTGGGCAATTCTAAATAAATAATGGAATACATACTAATATACTTATTAAACGTATAACTCTACCCCTGTCCTTATTCGCGAATCCTAAGACTTGCGTGATGACAACTATGACACTTAGATCCGCAAATGCGTTAGATAATCACACAAGTACTTGCTGGTATCCTAGCAACGACTTAAATTTTTGAGAAAGATATTGATTCCTAACAACGGCAACTCTTAAACTATAAAAGAACATAAGCACTTATACACTTGGTCCGCAAAGAAACCAGCATAAATCCAATGGTTATTACTGGATCAGATGTCTAATCAACGAGCTTTTACAACCCTATGTCGTGAAGCCATAAGAAGCCACAGTAGAAGTGACTTGCTAATATCAGTCACATGGCTTGCTTGAATTTAGTAATTGAGTCCTTCAACTCTCACATATGAATCTAGTAGTCTTACTTGAGCCACCTAAGCTTTCCATTCATTTAGTGGGACAAGGTCAGTCATTTTCACCTCTAAGCACGGATTGGCTCACCCAATGTCCTTTACAATGTAATTATGGAAAATCTTCTACCTAAACTGCTTTGATAGGTCATAACATGGTTTTCATGCCATGATCTGCTCTACCTAGGGAGACTTCAATGAGAGCAAAACCAAAGAAGTCAAAAAAAGTATCGCAATATAGTTGATAAAGTTAATTCTTAAGACCCACCAAAATTTTTCACAGGTTTTCAAAGAAGCACCTTACCCAGATCATCATGAGACTATCAATTAACATAGAAAAATACAGCTTAATACTCTTCCATATAATGAGACTGACGTTGGACCCTAGAATCATAACATACAAAATATGGCTTAAAACTCTTGTAGTATAAGAACTCAAGCACATTCAGAGCCGAACATAACACAAAATGAGATATATAATGGGGCCAACATTTGAGAATTGTCTTAAAAGCAGAGAAAGCTAACTCAAAAATAACCATCTTCACCATTCAAATTAAGCAGAAAACTTAGACTTGGCAAATAACAGCCAGAAGAATAGTTTCTTAAACTCTGGATAAAGACCACAAGCTTGAGTTCAAATCCCTTTCTGACCTCCATTGCGGTCTCAGCCATTAGAACCTATATCCTCAATCCAATACCCATGTCATAAAGAACACGAATAAGAGAACAGTGAAGGTTTTAACAGAGAATGCAGAAAATATGTAGCATGAAGAGCAGAGGAGTAAGGATTGGAAGAAAGGTGCACTATGAAACTGAACCAGACATAAGCACTTCAATAATCAATAAGAAGTTCATTATTATGTGCTAAAATCCTTACCTTTGTTAATTTTGCAGGAAGACAACAACCGAAATGCAGTATTGGCATCCTCAAACCTTAGTTTCCTAGCAATCCATGAATAGACCACTCCCTTACAATCATTAAGAGTGTCAATTTCACTAGGTGCTCCAACTATGTTCTTCTTATCACTGAGAGCCGTTTTTATCCCAGATATCTGAAGTGCAGCCTCAGAAATTGCAGGCTGGCAAACAGGCCTGCAGCACTCTTTCAGAGGATCAACTGTGATGCATGAATCTAACAGTTTGCTTGTATTTAATGCTTTCTCAAAGGTACTGATGTCCTTCACGGGGCAAGACCCGCCAGTCAGATTGGACGACTTTACAGAACACATGCTAGATAAGGAGCTGTTTGCTCCTCTGCTGGCTAGTATACTGATGATATCTTTAAAACAATCATCAGCCACCGCATTTTGTAAAACTAAAGTATCAGAACGGTTGCTGTAAAATCCCTGGAATATGTGGAGTAAGCTATTAAACTGCGGGCAGCATATTACATTCCCTACTACTGTAGACAAAGATTGAGTACAATCAGATGCTGTTTTTCCTGTGATGCTCGAAATGACTGAGAAATTTACAGGGCATCTTCCAGTCAAGACAGGGTCATAAGTCTTTGGGAAGGAAGGGTACATTGGTGGCAAAGGTTCTCCAGGAAAAGGATAATGGGGGATCATAGCGGGTGATATGTCAATTGGCTGAAAAGTTCCACTGTTAGGTGTGCTAGGTAGTTCAGACATGGAAGGGGCTTGCCAAGGTTTAGGTAACAGAGGCAGAGCCACTACATTTTGATAGCTAGACAACCAGAGAGCAACTACTAGCAGCAGGTGGCAAAACGAACCTGCAATATGAGAAAAGTCTGTATCTCAGCAAGCATACATAATTTAAAGCCTAGATAGAGATGCCACATGCACAGAACTCTATACGAGTTCAGATATGTCAATTACCTTTAGAAAGTGGTTACTTCATGTAATAATGCCAAGTAAATCCTATGTAGCTTGAGACTTGAGAAAAAATCATCATGAAAATAAACTATGTGATTGAGGTGCAAAGAAAACGAGGCAATCAAAACTAAGGTTCAGCAATTATCATTTTCTATTCAGTATGGATACTATAAAGCCGACAAGAGAGGAATTGTCTAGTGGGAAGGACTTTCCACCTCCAAACCACAAGGTTTTTTACCATATCGAGGAAAACAAGGAAAATACGAAAGCCACCATCAGGCATAAAACATGTGACCAACAAGAGTTGTAGACCAAAGAGTTTCTCTATAACTGCATGCATAACCATGAACTTGTAAAATAAAAAACTGGAAACACCTATGATGCCATTTCTTAAGAGACAAAACAGAAAGCCCAAGAAAATCTAGAGCAGGCCAGGTGGCTTTTGGGTCACGGGTGGAGGGCAGAGTGACAGTGTGAAGTTTTGTCTTTCCCGATCTCCTACCGGATAAAGGAAAGTGTAGCATAAAACTTTCATGAGCCCAGTGCTTTACCCTTGAGACGACTAACAATCATTATACAAGCCATGACTCCACTAACCCTCCGGCAACATGGGGACGTGCAACAGGAACCTTTAGTCGGCTGATGGTACACCAATTGAGCTGGTCAAGTCGCAATACCTACACCAGATCGAACCATGTTATAATGCAGAAGAGATCAGGCAACACCATAGAATCCTAAATCACCTTATAAAGCAAAGGCATCCATCCATATATAAGCTTGGATCTTATTATTAAGAAAGAGGAACTACAACAGAGAGGAGCATAACATGCTTTGTACCCTCCACAAGGCAGTCTAAATGCATCATTTTCTTGTTGGAGAAGCATTAAATAAACATCTAGCCAGGTATAACTCACATCTCATGCAAGATTAATAACCATTTGCAGAGTAGACAACTGATAAGCTTGCAATGGTAAACTGGGGTAAGGCCATAAGCGACCTTAGCAGATTAAATGCAACTCTTATCCATAGAATCCAAGGAAAGAACCGGACTAAGATGTTCTAAATTGCCTCTCTTTCATCATTGTCTTACCCTAGTTTGCCGTATGCAGAATTGAAAAGTAATGGAGGTTCAAATTCACTCTTTTCCAGGTCTTAAAATTTCTACTTCACAATTGGAAGGTTAATAATGTGTAACAGCCCAAACCACTAGTGATATTGTCCTCTTTGGGCCTAGACCCGAACGGCTTTAAAACACGTCACTAGAGACTAAGGCTTGTCTACTTATATACCCTGCATCTCTTCCGTTTTTGTCGATGTGGGATTCGCCTAGGGTTTGTCCCACCACCATTCAAGGTTGCACGCGGAGTGGCTCTGATACCATATGTAACAGCTCAGCCCACTAGTGATATTCCGCTTTGGGCCTAGACCTGTATGGCTTTAAAACGCGTCACTAGAGCCTAAGGTCTGTCTACTTATATACCACGCATCTCTCTCGTGTTTTGTCGATATAAGAAAATGGCATATTTACATATCACCATCATCCAATTATTCCTTTCTCATCCTACTTCCCATAATTGCATTCCATTTTAAGGCCACAGTCCAAGTTATCCCAATAACGGTGTAAGATCGTGACTACAAAGAGTATTCATACCTTAAACTTGTCCATTCTTCCTTATGAGAAAAAGAATAGCTCTCATACACAAAGTTACAGCTAGAAACTTGAAAATACCACTAATAAAACTCTTATTAAGACAAGAAAACCAAATCTTTCATAAAAGCCTAATCTTTCTATGCACATAGATCAGCCCTATGAAAAAACACACATACAGGACACTTCTCAAACATACCCCTCAGCACTCGTTTCAAAACTCAAGAGCGAAACAACCAGAAAACAAAATTAAAAAGGAAAATGTAGCTTAAGTCCCTAAGATCGCAATATAAGCAAATCCAAACGGGTAGTAGCCAAAAACAAATATACACATACAGAGAAAGAAACAAAGAGAAGAAAATGATAAGGATGAACCTGAAGTGAAAACCCGGTAAAGAACAGAAAGTGTTCTTATCAGTTGTCATTAAAGAATGGCAGGCAAGGGTTCAAACAATCAAGAACACGAAGACCATTTTTCTAAGTGAAAATCAACCCACAAATTTGACTATATTTGGAAAGTGGGTAAATGTCCAAGAAAATATCAATAGAACCCTATAATAATTATCAGAGAGGAGGGGAAGTAGTAGGTGTTGAGCTCAATGATGGATAAAGTGGGCCGCCGCGGCTTGAATAAGGGGGGGTGCGAGGGGGGGATGTCCTCTTTTGCCGGTGGCTCTTTTTATTTTCTTTTATATATATATATATATACATATATATATGATATGAAGTGTTAACCCTGCGGTTGTGTAATGGGAAGATCCATCAAACCACCTGATTTTTCCACGTAAAAATGGGATGGACCCCGCACTTTTTGGTGTTCGGGTCCAAGTGAAATGCATTATATCAGACTTGTTTATGATTGACTGATTGGAAAAGCAGTGGAACATGGAAAATTCTCTTGTATTTTTATGTATTTTCTTTTTCCCAAAATAAAAGGACTAGTCATAGTGTTGGCGCATTGTGCATGTTCCCATATTAATAAATATAATACTCCCTCCGTTTCAATGTATGTGAACCTGTTCGATTGGGCACGGAGTTTAAGAAAAAATAATAATTTTTGAATTTGTGGTCCTAAACAAGTTAAAAAGGGGTCCAGAGTATTTGTGTGGTTATAAAAACTTCTCATTAAGGGTAGAGTTGTAAGTTTATACTAAATTGTTTCCAAATTTAGAAAGGGTTCATTCTTTTTGGAACGGACCAAAAAGAAAATAGGTCACATAAACTGGAACGGAGGGAATATACGGTTAAAATCGAATCCACCCGATTTTACTGATTTATCGTGATCAGTGTGAAGGATCGAAGATCGATCCCGTAATAGATCAGACTGAGGCACGAGGACAAGATATCGAGTTCGAGATTCGAGGTACTTCTCAAGATCGAGGTCGGTAGCGACTGAGATCAAATGAGATAGACATCGAGAAAGATCGAAGGTAGCATAATAACATAAAGGCGAAGTATCTGTGACTGGTCGAAGATCATGGCGGAAATCTCAGAACGGATCAAATCAAGGACGGTTAATTAGCTAATCATGGGATTCCCTTCTGCAATTAGAGTTACACCATAATTAGGATTTCTCTACTATATAAAGAGGAGCTCCAATCATTTGTAAGACACTTACATTCTAGATATCAAAGCAATATAACGCTTTTTCTTTAGTTCATATTCTTGTTCATCAGCTAGTTACATTTTTCATTGTTCTTGCACCAATCAGTTCGAGGGTATTCAAGCTCAAGGGCTGAATTCCATTCAAACACTGGCTTGCTTTATCTTATTGTCAATTTCCATTATTAATCTTTATATTCATCAATTGATATTAGGTGAAATCACCAGTGGCGGCCCGACGAATTCTGTGGCCTAAAGCCAAACTTTATGAGGGGCCTTAATTTTTTTTAAAATAATTATTATTTATTTGAAGTCTATTTTTTTAGCTTTTCTTAGATATAAATTTGTTAATAATTTTCTTATAATCAATAACTCCTAATAAATATTTCTCAATTGATAATATAGTTAATCCATTTAACCTTTTTGTGACATTGTTGATCTTAGGTAAGTTTTGAAAACTTCATTCCGCTGAAGCAACGATAACACGAGTTATTAATATTATTCCACAAGCAATTTAGGCATTTGAAAAAGAATTAAATTTTTTTATTTTATTAAGCGTATCAATTAAACTGCTATCTTCTAATTGTCATATTTTTCTTAATACTTTTGTCAAAAAATAAATCTAAACCATTAAATATGCATTGATTATTATGCTTTAAAGAACATTCAAGATTAAGACAATATTTTTTCAAATTTCAACATCTAGTGATCTTAGTTTTACCGCCAAATAGAAAACCAAAAATATTTTCATATGCTGCTAATTGTTCAAATCTATTTTGAAGTGAAAAAATAGCTTTGTCTATTATGTATAAAAGTAATCAACTCTAAAGTACTCTTCGAAAGATTTTGAGATTTTATTATCAACATTCGCATTAATTTGTTACTTCCTATATATCACATGTTTCTTACGAAATTCGGGCTCGATATTCATTTCAAGTGCAATTTTCTTGGTAGAATTCATAGCAGTTGCAAATCCTTCTTATCTATTTTTGTTAAAGAAAGAAATAAAAAAAATCACTTTATAGAACTTTTATTAAAAGTTATACATAGTTTATTAGGTGTAACAGAAAATGGAGCCCCAAAAATTATGGGGCCTAAAGCGGTTGCTTTACTTGCTTTATGGAATCGCCGCCCCAGAAAATCACTGTAATAAGATCAAATTAGTTGAAATTGGTTATAGCTGTTAATCAAATTAGTATAGTTAATTGATAGTTAAACAATCACGTATCCTTAAAACCACATTATAAGTTAAATTGTTATCCAATTTTAAGGGTAAACAGTTTGGTGCCCACCATGAAGCTAAGGATAATAGTGATTGCCTGGTATTAAATCTCATAACACACACCGTTTTACGCTTGTTCTCGTTAGCGTTTTTGATTTCAGGAATTAACATGTCAAACTCTCAAGTAGCACCCACTCACACAGACAATGGCTTTGGTCTTCATAGCGAGAACGAAAACATAGCCGCCCCGGGAAATGGAGTACCTCTAGGCAACCCCGATGGATCGACGGGCGTAGACCTAGTCGATGTTAGTTCCCATATTGACATTAATGGGAATTTGGGCGTTGACCCTGAAAAATGGCATCCGCATATATGCTCGAGCAGACGATCAGAACGCACAAAGCGGTAAAGAAGGCGGAATTAGCCTTCGAATGATATTCGAGATGTTGCAGACTCAATAAGCTGCGATAGCACAACTCCAAACTCAGAATCGAGCACTAAGCAGAATTGAGCTCGAAACATCACAAGAGGTTGTTCATAGAGCCGAACCTATACCGGAGAAATTGAACGCTAATGAATTGGGGACTGACCACGTCATTATGAAGATGCTCGAGGAGCTCACCAAACGGATCGAATCAGGTGAAAGGAAAATTGAGGCTAGTGACAAAAAAGTAGAAATGTACAACTCACGGGTTGACCAAATATCGGGGGCACCCCCGATTCTAAAGGGTTTGGATTCGAAGAAGTTCGTGCAGAAGCCTTTCCCTCCAAGTGTGGCTCCGAAGCCAATCCAGAAAAAATTCTGCATGCCAGAAATTCCCAAATACAATGGAACCACTGACCCTAATGAACATGTCACTTCTTATACGCGCGCAATAAAGGGGAATGACTTAGAAGATGATGAGATTGAATCCTTTTTAATGAAAAGGTTTGGAGAAACTTTATCGAAAGGGTCAATGATATGGTACCACAATTTGCTGCCTAATTCCATTGATTCCTTCGCCATGCTTGCAGA